GAAAACCTGTTTTTGAATCTTTACTGTCCATTTCCCAAATTCCATTTCGTAGTTCAACCTCTTAATCCATCAAATTTGATCAATATCTGGTAGTCCATCTACCATCCTTGCTCAACACACAAGAGAGCTTCTCGTGGGCGGAGCGATGGGCGGAGCCTCCTTTGCCTTCCACTTTCCCCCTTGGAAACAGGGGCAAGGCTTTGGTTCCTCCTGCAGAACCTCCTTTCGCAAGTATGCTAAGCAATTCGCAAGTACAAAGCCTGCAAGAGTTCTAGCTAACTCAATCCTTTTCTGAAGTGTCTGCTTGCTAGCTCTTCGAGCTCGTAAAGCCGGTGCATAAACATAAGTAGAGAATTGCTGACATCAATTTTTTGACGTTTTTAACAGTAGGGAAAGGGAGTAGGTTAACAGCTTTGGTGCATCAGACATACCCTTACCTCACCTCTGAAATTGTTTTTGATTTTTGATGGGATCGGCCGACGTACTTCAGAATCCCCCCCCCCCCCTCCCGGTCAACGTTTCATGATCTCTCGATTAGTGAAACACCATTCAACCTGGAGAGGTCAATCTCACCCTATCGTACAATATGCTATGTGCATATGCGCACTTTGGTTTAGCGATTCAAAGGCAGCGTTCAGGGGCGGTATGCAACAATCGCCCGTCCGCGTAAGTTACCCGGACAGGTAGTTTCCGCTTCATAGCTCGCTGCTCTGGGAATCTGTGTTCTTCCTTGTTTGTTCATTTATTGGAGGCTCTACTAACCTAATATTGTAGCACAATGACTAGCAGCACTTTGCTGCATAAGCTGAGATAAATCGTTATTTGTATGATCCCGAACGGGATCTCCCACTAATCACGCTCATTTTTAAAGTTATTTATATCCGCAAAAACTCAATGAAGACGTCACAGAGTTTTGCTATCAACCTATTACGGCATGCTAGGCATGTTTTTAGTAGCACAGATGAAATGTGCAAGTTTTGAGTTTTTCAATAGAGCCCATTTCGCGAGCACAGATTCAGCGAAGATTTTGTCAACTTGATTTTTCACTTATATCGTTCACAAACATGCGTAGCACTGTCGTAATAATTGTACAGCAAAACTCTGTGACGTTTTCATTGAGTTTTTGCGGATATAAATAACTTTGAAAATGAGCGGGATCAGTGGGAAATCCCGTTCGGGATCATACAAATAAGGAATCATCTCAGCTTATACAGCAAAGTGCTGCTTATCATTGTTCTACAATATTAGGGTAGTAGGGCCTCCAATAGATGAACAAACAAGAAAAGACAGATTCCCAGAGCACCAAGCTATGAAGCGGAAACTATCTGTCCGGGTAGCTTACCCGGATGGGCGATTGTTGCATACCGCCGGGCCTCTCCTCTTTGTGGCGTTGGGGCAGTTCTCTTTTTTTCATTCTACGGTGCACAAACTTGTAACAAGAGGATAAGTTGCTTTTAACAAAAAAAACCCATCTCTATCAAACTATGATTTATCATTTATACGGCTTCTCACTTGAGGTCTTCAAGCGTACAAACTTTGAGGCCCGAGGCGAATTGTCTCGCGCAGCGTAGCATTGCGTTTGTCCCAGTGATCTGCATCATTATAGATATAGATTTTCCATTATAGATATCATGAAAAACTAGGCAGTTGTGGGAAAGGGCTTGATTTTGGTGAAGGGAATCAAATGCAGTGATGACTTAGGCCCCTATGCACTAATAACCCTGCGGGAGGGGAGCGGCCTCGTTGAGATTGAGTGGTGCATTGGATTACTTTGAGTTTGTACAAATGTCAGGTACAATCAAACTTTGCTCTATGCTAGGGTTTTACCCTGATGAACAATGCACACAAGTCCCAGTTTTTTGATATTTTGTTCCTTAGCCCTGCTGCGCGTAGGAGGTGGTGCGGGAGGAACCAAAGCCCTTGCAGCCTGTAGCTAAAGGGGAGTAGGGAAGGCAGAAGAGGCTCCGCCCATCGCTCCGCCCACGGGATGCTCCCATTGTGCATTGAGCAAGAATGGTAGATGGACTACCAGATATTGATCAAATTTGATGGATTAAGGGCCGCATGCACTATTATCCTCGCAGGGAGGGGATCACAGCTTGAAAGAAAGCTTTATATTTCGAAACTCCAAATACCTGGATTTCACGTTGTGTACCTATCCGTAAGTATTCCTACTACCTTTCACTATGAACATGTTGAAGAGGAGCGAGAAGCTGTACGAACCGCATTTTCCAGCTCCCCGGCGCTTTTCTTCAAAGTCATTTTTCTTTCTCCGAAGTTAACGAAAACCTTCCAAACTTGTACTGAACATCTAACACAACAGTGCTAAGCATGTTGCTGATGAGAACAAATGAGTTTTTGAAAAGTCGAATTTTTCGGTAAACCTCAAATTTCGACCTATGGATCATCGAAATTTCATGACTGCAAAACATCATTTGTTCTTATCAGCAACATGCTTAGCACTGCCAGGTTGGATAATCTGCACAACTTTGGAGGTTATTTGTTAACTTCGCAGAAAGAAAAATGACTTTAAAGAAAAGCGCCGGGGATCATCAGGGATTATACAAAAGCTGGAAAATGCGGTTCGTACAGCTTCTCGCTCCTCTTCAACATGTTCATAGTGAAGGGTAGTAGGAATACTTACGGACAGGTACACAACGTGAAATCCAGGTATCTGGAGTTTTGAAATATAAAGCTTTCTTTTAAGCTGCGATCCCCTCCCCGCGGGGATAATAGTGCATGCGGCCCTAAGAAGTTAAACTATGAATTGGAATTTGGGAAATGGACAGTAAAGATTCCCAAACAGGTTTTCAGATACCAGGATGACAATAGAAGTAGTACCATGTCATAAACCTAATAAATGTCAAATGGAACACCGCGCTACCATTGACCATTGATGAATTTTGTTCAAAATCGAAGTGATGATGATACAAAGCTTAGAAGGTGGTTTATCAAAAATTGATTCAAGCATGAGAACAGAAGTCGAGAAGTTTCAAAGTGGTTTTAACAGTAACTTTAACAAAGAAACTAACACTATATCCTGGATACTCAGATCCAAAAATAAAATGCAAGTGCAAAGATCTTATGCTTTTGAGAAGGCTCAAAAACTTCACAGCTCAGATTCGAAGTGCGAACCAAACTTGGACAACCTTTACCCCGCTGGCAGTTGTCGAGGCATAGGATCGAAGTGGGACAATATTCAATACAAATGGGGGAAAACCACTGTAACTTCTATGATTGTTATAACGGACAAGTTTTGGTGACTTTGCCTGCTTTTTGCATCTTTTTGCCCGAGTCTGATTTTGCGGAAATTTTTAATGAATAATCTGCCATCTACTTTCAAGTTCACCTTTTTGAAACACGACTTTCAACGTTTTTCTCGTGAATTTTTGTCAGCCTTCACTCCCCCCCCCCCCCGGGTAAAACATTTATTGGAGTTAACAACGAATTAGTTTTCACTTGTATTAAGATTTTCTTGGCTCAGACGACTGGCTTGATCCTGCAAAGGTCAACTAATCGGCTATCGATTAGCACAACGCAACTAACGCAGTGACTATAGTAAAAGATTGAGAAAATTGTATCACGAAAATAAAATGTAATATAGAGTAAGTTTTCCGCGACGCCATTTATAGGAGTTCATGAAAAACTTGAATTTGAGCCGAAGCTCTTACCTCTCTAAAAATTGTTCATCAATTCCAATCTTTAAAAGGATGCTAGAATTGGGTTGATGCGAAAACATACAAAAGCCCATTCAAAAGATTCGCCTTTCAAAACTGGTCACAAATTTGTTTCTCCCTACTCTGTATCTCCACTCCAAGTCTTTTAAACTAGACTTTTCCTTCAAAAGAATTCCTGAGGAAAAAGGCAAAACCCAGGCTCAGCGCGAGGGGCGGAGCTTGGGAGGTTGCCAGATCCTTCTTGGCACGCAGCCAGCTCCTCCCCTTTCCCTCTTGGATACAGGGGTCAAGGGCTCTGGTTCCTCCTGCACCGCCGCCCTGCACGTATACTTATACTTTGGGAAATTCGAATTTTTTTTTCGAATATTCGAATCTTATATATAAAGCTGAATGTCTGTTTGTCTGTCTGTCTGTATGTCTGTCTGTATGTCTGTCTGTCTGTACGTATGTTCCGAACAGAAAATTCCATTTCTGAACCGATCCGGACCAAACTTGGCACCCATACACTACGGGCCGCGGCGGGTGTCATGGGCTACTTTTCGTCATCGATCGATATCGATTTTATCGAGTTTTTGCAAAATTTGAGCTACGGGGCTGGGAGTTGGCACAGGGGGGTAATCGAGCATGCTGATCACCCCCGTGGTGCCGGATTGTGGCGATGTTAAAGTAGTCCCCCCACCTAAGCGATTACCGATGTTCGGAGCGAAAAAGGGGGCTACCAGGCCTAAAATTTGCCCCGTAAGTGGCCCGGTCTTACGGTAGGCTAGTGAGTACGAGATGCATGTAGGGTAGAGACGCAGAGTCGTTGCGGGACCCTGCACTCATGGCTGTGCGCGCTATGCGTTCTCTGGCCTTACAGTTGTACGTGCGGCAGTTGTACGCGCTGTACGGGCGGCATTCGGGCCTGACGTAAGACGGGCCACTTTGGGCGGCAACGGCCTGGAGGATAGGCTCGGTCGACGCTAACGCTCCCCCCCCCCCCCGTTTTTAGGAGATGAGTGTCCGGCACTACCACCTTCACTTTTGCCCGGCCGGTGGTGGCTGGAACCACCTTCACTTTTGGGGAGCCCGGCCTATCGCACCTCTGGTTAGGGGCCTCGCTATCGTGCTGCATCACATTCTCACTACCCCTAGATTTGATTGGATGGTGCATCCAACTGAAGGTCCAATTTTTGCAATGGCGGCCATTGCTACGCAGAGGCTTCCGGCGTGTTGATGGGAACACTTCGTAAATGTTTACTCGCGCTGGAAAACGTTTGCAATGCTCCATCTACTTCGCAGGTGTGCCGATAATATCAGCCTTTTTCATTTACTGTCATTCAGGCAGCAGTAACGTCAGAAATGCGAACTCTGGTGCTACAAGAAGGTGGCGCTTTTTATTTTTTGGCCATTATGGAAAACAAGGCAGCTGATTTAAGGTAAGTAATCTCTGGTACGACTCGTTTTAGACAAAACTCTCTTGTAGGATAAATGCCTATATAATGGTACCGCTTGGCTACCCTTCACAGATTCCGCTGATTGTTGTATCAATAGTCAAAATGTGTACGAAAGAGAATTCACCGCAGACTTTTACCGCCTGGAACAGTCACATCGTAAAAGTAAGTAGATTGAAACGATTTATCCAACTAGGGCTCGGCACGAGCTGGCACCAGGGAATTTTCAAAACGAAGTCCCCCTTGAATTTTGCTAACTTTTACGAAGTCCCCTTTGACCCCGGCCCAAAATTTCTAAAAATCCTCTAAAAACGAAACGTCGACTTAAAAAACATCGCAATTTGTCGACAAAAACGATATCCCCTTTGCTTTTTGTCCCAAAAACGATATCCAGCTTGCCCCGTGCCGGCTGGTTCCAGCCTCTGTATCCAACTAATCGATCATACTCTGCTCAGAAGTGCCTGAAAATGTTGCAAATGCCCCACACTTGAAGCAACCTGAAGGGGCTTTCATCGTCAAGAATTTTCCCAATTTTCGAAAGCAACTCTTGAAAGAAGAAAGTTTGCACATAGAATTAGAAATAGTTACCCTAGAATGTGTACGGGTTTGGTTGTAGTCGTCAGTCTCCACTACATATCTTGATGAATCGTGTCCTGACCATTGAAGGGTTTTCCCATCCTAACGTTTCCGGGTTTGGTTCAGGGCTGGTACTTTTAGGATTTTTAGCGACATCTTTCATTGGAGTCATCGGAGTATGGCCAAATCTTAAAATGACGCGATTTATGCCTGTTTTTTAGGCACTTGAGATGTACGTGAACATCACATGCATCAGTAAAGAAGCAGCAGACGTTCATGCGCTGCTTACCAAACAACTGGCCAATTTGGTTAGTAGATGTGATGTTATTGCTGACCTTGCTCCTCAATTCAGTACTGGAAATACGCAGAAGCAACATCTATACAGCAGATCATCCAGGTCATATCATTAGTGGTCTCATGCAACGTGAAAGAATCGTCAATGTTTTTAGAGGAAGAGATGACGACTTGCCATTCGATTTCCTTTTGTCGACAAGCGCCTTCGGCTATCCATAACATTGTCTTCGTTGTTTTGTTTGAAAACTATTGTTATAAAGTGTTCCTGAGCCTTCTGTTTTTCCCTTCGTTGTGTCATACACTGCAATATCGCATAGGCAGATGCAGTCGCCATATCTCTCAAGATGAGCTCATTGTGGGAAATTTGTTTACAGAAATACGTTGGAAAATCAAATAAATGAGCACTAGTTGCTAAGAAATCTGCCCAGTGGGCTGATTGTTTGGAAAAATTGGGGGGGGGGGGGAGGCAAGGAGCCCTTCTTTGTTCTGTTTTCCCGTCTTCATCGGTTCGGCGCACGCAAGTGGCTTTTCTGCAAGTGGCTTTTCTCAAAAAATGCAGTCACGTTCTTTAAAGTCTTCAAATTTCAATTTAGGGTCGCAAGTGAACCTTATCTACTTCGATCGTTCTTCAGCTCGCATATGGCAGTTTGCTTACCAAAGGGAGGAGCGTAATTAAGAGTAAATCTCGGAGGAAAAGGAACTTAAAGGAAACGATTTTACCTCTTATTTGGTACGGTTTGAGCAGGTTTGTTATCACAATTCAAAGGCTCTTTCAGAGTATGAAAAAAAAAGAAATTTAGTTTTTGTCAAGCTGCATTCATACATGTGAAAAGGCGATAATGTGTTCCTACCCCCTTCACCCCACTGCCGGAACCCAGCTAACCCCCCTTCACCCACGGCCGATGAGGAAGTGGAAAAAGTGAGACTAAGACATTAACATTTTAAGCAAAATTATAAAACTACCCACATTATTGAAATTAAATTTAGTAATATTTTAATTCCTAATATCATTAATATGATCATCAGAAACCTATTTGCAGGCTCAATGAGAAGTACATCGAAAATTTGCTGTCTATTGTTCACTTCTAGAGAACGATGAAAAGCCTGGAGAAAAATTTACGTGTGAAGCCTTTGTGTATACACGTCAATGAAGTTATTACTCACGTATTTGTTGAAATAATAAGTGAAATTATAAATGAACTTTGATGATCGGTGCGCAGTTAGATTGCATTCCTTTTAAGAGGTATAAGTTTTCTAAGCAGATGGCGGAATCCGTGTAAAGTCATTGAATGATTCCTTAAAGAGTCATTGTTCCAACTTTTGATATTATTTCTAAACTCCGACAAAGATCGTAACATTTGCTAGAGAAACAGGTGCAACAGAGGCACCTACTACATCGAAGAGTTGGTGTAATCAGGGTTAGACTCACTGTCAAAATTTTATAGCTACGAGGATCGTGGAGTTCTACAATTCGTTTATTTGGACAATGATAGGGATGAGGAAAGCAGCCAGAGATGCATTTTTCCACCTTGGAGCACTATACAAGAGGAGAAGGACAATCGTATATGATCACTGCGTGATTATTCTGAAAAATTGTTTTCCATCGAAGAAGATTGAGAAATATAAAAGATCTTAGAAGAAGAACTCAGTCATCATTAGTCTACTTTAGTTTAAAAGTCTGCTTTCCATCCGCTTTCGGAAAACATACAGCTTGCCAGGAAAAAGAGGGGTTTTTCCTGCTAAATAGAAATAGTTTTAGTCATTTTTTTCAAAATTGTAGAATTTTTCTATAAAAAATTGTAGATTTTTGATATGAGAAGATAAGAGAGTCTCTAGCCATACATTGAATTACTCTTGTTGAAGGCTTCCAGAAAATATATAGCTTACCAAGGAAGAAAGGATTTTCCTGTATTGTGAAAGTGGTCGCAATTGTTTTTCTAAAATTAAGGAAATTTTATTATAAAAATTCATAACTTTACTATACGAAAAGCTAGAAGAGTGCTTTGCACTCTATTGGAATCCCCTCGTCGTCCGCTTTCCGGAAATATACAGTTTGCCAGGAAAAAGAAGGATTTTCCTATCGGGTGAAAGGGGTCGCAATCTATTTTCCGGAATTAAGCCAATTTTTAACTTAAAAAAATTATAATAATTTTATATGAGAAGCTGGGAGAGTGATTAGGTGTTTATTGAATTCCTCTCGTCGTCCGCTTTTAGAAAATATATAGGTTGTAGGGAGAGGGATGCTAAAAGTACGTGGTGAAAGGGGAGGGAACATGGTATAATGGGCATGTTCCTTTAGCTCCTTAAAACGACGCTTTTTGAGTACAGAAAGGAAGATTTCTATTATACCATGTTCCCTCCCCTTTCACCACGTACTTTTAGCATCTCTCTCCCTACAACCTATATATTTTCTAAAAGCGGACGACGAGAGAAATTCAATAAACACCTAATCACTCTTCCAGCTTCTCATATAAAATTATTATAATTTTTTTAAGTTAAAAATTGGCTTAATTCCGGAAAATAGATTGCGACCCCTTTCACCCGATAGGAAAATCCTTCTTTTTCCTGGCAAACTGTATATTTCCTGAAAGCGGACGACGAGGGGATTCCAATAGAGTGCAAAGCACTCTTCTAGCTTTTCGTATAGTAAAGTTATGAATTTTTATAATAAAATTTCCTTAATTTTAGAAAAACAATTGCGACCACTTTCACAATACAGGAAAATCCTTTCTTCCTTGGTAAGCTATATATTTTCTGGAAGCCTTCAACAAGAGTAATTCAATGTATGGCTAGAGACTCTCTTATCTTCTCATATCAAAAATCTACAATTTTTTATAGAAAAATTCTACAATTTTGAAAAAATGACTAAAACTATTTTTATTTAGCAGGAAAAACCCCTCTTTTTCCTGGCAAGCTGTATGTTTTCCGAAAGCGGATGGAAAGCAGACTTCTAAACTAGAGTAGACTGAGTTCTCCTTCTAAGATCTTTTATATTTCTCAATCTTCTTCGATGGAAAACAATTTTTCAGAATAATCACGCAGTGATCATATACGATTGTCCTTCTCCTCTTGTATAGTGCTCCAAGGTGGAAAAATGCATCTCTGGCTGCTTTCCTCATCCCTATCATTGTCCAAATAAACGAATTGTAGAACTCCACGATCCTCGTAGCTATAAAATTCTGACAGTAAGTCTAACCCTGATTACACCAACTCTTTGATGTAGTAGGTGCCTCTGTTGCACCTGTTTCTCTAGCAAATGTTACGATCTCTTTCGGAGTTTAGAAATAATATCAAAAGTTGGAACAATGACTCTTTAAGGAATCATTCAATGACTTTACACGGATTCCGCCATCTGCTTAGAAAACTTATACCTCTTAAAAGGAATGCAATCTAACTGCGCACCGATCATCAAAGTTCATTCATAATTTCACTTATTATTTCAGCAAATACGTGAGTAATAACTTCATTGACGTATATACACAAAGGCTTCACACGTAAATTTTCCTCCAGGCTTTTTCATCGTTCTCTAGAAGTGAATAATAGGCGGCAAATTTCCGGTGTACTTCTCAGTGAGCCTGCAAGTAAGTTTTGACAATCATAATAATAATATTCAAAAACAACATGTCACTAAATTTGATTTTAATGATGCCGATAGTTTTATAATTTTGCTTAAAATGTTGATTTCTTAGTCTCACTTATTCCAGTTTTTCTTCTTCGAATTTCAGCGGATAAAACCCAATATTCGACTTTAACCCGGTTTGGCTACAATTTCACTTGATGATGTGAATGAAAAGAATATGAGAAGCAATGATGACGAACATTGCCCCCACCCCCGGTCGACGCACCTCCACAGTCGCGGCCGCTCTCCCCCCCCCCCAGCGGCATTCATACCCCCTTCACCCTGGAGAGGCGGGACCCCCATGACCCCCTTCACCCTGGAGAGGCCATGTTCCCCCTTTGCACACGCATGGCTGCATTTGCATGTAATTTTGCCGAAATTAGCAAAAATTTGGCATATCTTTTTAGGGAGCCTCCAGAGCGCGCCGGGACCGCGCCGGTTGTCGCGTTTGCAGCCGGTAGCTGCTTTCGCGCCGGTTGCCGCTATTGCAGCCAAAGCGCACTGTGTCAGAATTTGTCCTTGGAGCGTGGCGAGAGTCTATTGGCACTGGATGCTAGGCTTTTCGATTCCTTTGTCATCACTTTTTTGTTTCCAAAGTTCTCTTCTTTGCTGTAGTAAGTCGTTGCAGATATGGTTCATTTGATCTGGATTTCGTTTTTTCGGTCGTCATGCTGGGAAAATCGATTTATTGTGGAGAGAAACCCTTTCAGTCTGAATTCCGCTGTGGAGCTATTGCAAGGCAAGGCCTTTCGACGTCTTTCTCGTTTTGAGACTGGTTCACTATTCTGGATAAGCAAGTTGCGAATGTACTTTCTTGGTTTTTGAAGCTATTTCATCATGCCGTAAGAGCGATTTAGCTGCAAAACTCAAATTTTCTCTACTATTTTTGCTTTGGTATTTCACTACGCTGACTAACGATCTATTCCAAAGCGGAGTCATTTGGTGCCTCCTTCTCCAATCAAGGTATATACGGTTCACTTCAGCATAGTTAGCTAATCTTGAGTAATTATACGAAACTCAAAGGGAAGCGTGTCGAGTCGAAGTGGCCTTTCCAGATGGGACCCATACTGCCTTGAAGAGCATTAATCGGTGATTCCAAATCTGCTTTCCAAATCTGCCAATCTGGACGCCGAGTTATGCTCGTTGTTAGGTCAAAAAATCAAACGCAAAACTGAAGCAAAATCGCCCAAATTTGCTCAAATGATCCAGTGTCTAGTATCAGAGCTGTTTATGCAATGGATACATTTTATTTATTATGCTAATACTTAACATTGCTTTATCTGAGCGCTGGAAAGATTGTAACAATCAATTTTACCTAAATTCTGCATTCATTTTTCGTTCCGAAGAACGGTCATAACTCGGCGTCCAGAGGCGCTTGGCAGATTTGGAAAGTAGATTTGGAATCACCGCTTAATACTCTTCAAAGCAGTATGGGTTTCATCTGGAAAGGCCACTTTGACTCGACACGGTTCCCTTGTTAGATCAGTAAGTGTACCTTCAAGCCTAGTAAAGTAGCTTTAAAATTAGACAATCAAAAAACAGAGTTTTGCGACGATATCGTCCACTAAGCATAGTAGACCAACCTTAAATCGACAAAGACATCGAAAAACCTTGCCTGCACAACTACACAGCAGAGCAATTTCAGCAAAACGAAAGCTGTGCAAAAAAACAGCGTTCCGCAAAAAATTACGTGCTTCCAGATTTGTGCGGAGGCAAGTGCGGGCTTTTCCTGATTTTAATGATAAAGTTAACGAGAGAGTACGAAAAACAATGTTGCATGAAGTTTCAACAAGTTCACACTTACATTCAGGGAAAGTCTGCAACACGATGACTCTTGATAGTACAAAACTTAAGGCAAATTTGAAGAAACTTTGTTCTATACGAAATCGATCAACCACTGTAAAAGAATAGCCTGGAAATGAATGAAAGACAAAACGCCGTTCATCACGTTTTTTGCCTAAAGAAACAGCTCTACAGCGGGAGGTAGACAAATTGAATATTCGACAATGAGTCGATTACTCCAGCATCGTAGAACCTGCATGAATTACTTACGGAAAGAAGAGGACATTGGAAACAAGAGAGTGGTGGCAAAAGAATAAAGCCTAGGATTTAGTGCCAATAGGCTC